TTTAAAACGGACCTTTTCGAACACGATAGGATCAGGAGAACCACATGATTTCCCTGGCCGAGATATTGCCATCTGTTGCCTGTTGTTACAGGTCTCCGAGAGTAACAATTCTGGCACCTTTGGCAAAAATACCATTACGGACTATTTCATGCATGCCAGTTTTGCATGCCAGTTTTATTCCTGAGAGATACGAACCATCGATAAATAATCCCACCTCTCTCAATCAAACGCCCCGTACAATGCCGTCGCCACTGAAAGCTTTGGTTTTCCTGTTGCTGTTGTTGTTCCTGTCCACAATACGCCCGAAAAATTTGAAAACGCAACAATCATCGGCCATTTTGGATTTGTGGGTTGAGGAAAACTCAGGAACGGTAAGCCTAACCGTAGAAATAACGCTGCGTTTTCAAATTCATGCAGCGTAGTGTGGCCTTAGATCATTGAAAAGCACGTGTGAGTGGAAGGCGAGAGTCTTTAATGCACGTGCGGTTGCTTACTACTTGATTGGCAGCGAAGTTCAGAAAACCAACAAAAAGCTTTGTTTCAAGGTACGGATCACGCTGCACAGCTAGCACAGTCATTTCTTATTAAACAGGTCAGCGATCTTCCACAATGGAAAGTGACTTGATCTCCGCTAGCTTTTGTTGAAGTTGTTGCTGGCAATCCTCGTCTGAAAGATCTCCTTTCTTCCAGCCAAGTTTGTTTGTAAGGTCTGACAGAACTTGTGAAGCTTGGGTGTAGTAACTCGCCTGCAATAAAGAAATAATATCAAAGACAGGATCAAACTCAACTAAATACTTCAGCATATAATCTCCGATCTCTGAGGAGTATCCTCGGTCTTACAAACAAGTTAAGCGAGGACCTGTGATTAGGGGGATTTAGGTCCCGGGGGAGGACTTCGGCATAAAAAGGACGGAGATGACTTTCGTACCTTTCAGGGGTTTTTAGGGGTAACTCTTAGGGCGCTCAGCCTCAAAAGGTCCACAGCAGGAGCTTTCGGGGTGCCTATTACGGCACTGAGCAAAAAAAGAAAGTGCCAGTTAATGTGTTGTTTTAGAATTGGTACCTCTTATAGCCTGCGAACGCAGACGTATTTCCGGCTGTCACCTGATACAGTCAGAAATACGTCTCCGTTGGTAGGCTATACCTTTTTAATAGGGGTGAAAAAAATTTCAAGCTACGCAACAAAACAGCATCTTGATACCTCTTGGGGGTTCTTTTCCAAATTTCCGAAGAGCACCCCGGAGATTTAGGGCTTAGGTTTGCCTCTAGGGTGCTGTTTCAAAATTGCTCAGATTATCGTCATCTTACTCTAACATAATATTAACGACAGCAATTTGTCTTACCCCTGACCGGATCATGGCTTCAAATGATGGCTCAAAGTAGTCTATTCTTCCCTCTATCAGTTGAGGCAAATCCTGAGATGTAACAAACCAATCATTCGTGAGTAGAAGACTTTGACATAGTACTTGTGCATGCTGATGCGCTCGAAACTCATTGTAAGTGGCCCACTTTACATTGATTTGGGCAATAAATAATAAGACACGTCCGAATTCATACGGTTGCAACAGCCGCCTTCGCTTTCACTTAGCGCAGGAGATTACCGTCCGAACGACCGTTTTTCAACCTTTTGTTAAATCCGCAAATATTTGTAAAAAGCACGTAGACTTTGTGCGCGGTGGTGTGGGGACTTTTCGAAATTGCAATGTCAGCGTTTCAATAGCCTAGGTTACAACAAGTTCACAAAATCTCCAAGACACATCCTTACCTCCAACATGACGGCGTTTTGTCTTTCATAATCCAGTTTTGCTGCTGCAAGCGCTTGATTATTCTAAAGGAAGCGCAACCACTGATTACTTCATGTAAACGTATCATCATTTGTATTGACAATGTGACACTCATAACACACGCGTAATTTGTTGAAACCAATCATAACATAGCAGATGTCTTCTCAGCCAATCACGCACAAAAAGAAACCTAGGAGTGACTTGGCTGACGTGACGTGAATTTTCCCGCCCTTGCTACTGATCACGAGTATTTGTTTCGAGTTTT